GCTTAGGTTAAAGAAGTCGAGGTTGTCACAAGCAGTTTAGAATGGACGATAAACACGATATAATTCTAAAGTCAATAGTAGGACACTTATGAATTCTAAATATAATAATCTATAATATCGTCATGGTAACGCAAGTACTTGATATTTCCTTTATTATCATAACATTTGCATACATCAGTTACGCAATGACTGCGAGTGTGCCAAACTGGAAGAGACATTTTTTGTGAATATTCGTAATTTTAACTACATTTTCGAATTTTATTTGCAGGTATTCTGATCTGCAAAATCTCTCTCGCTTCAACTTATCAAATAGCAATAATATTAGTCGCACCAATTATTTAGCCGACTTTGATTTTATATATTTTAAAATATTTACGTTCGAAATGTGTTCGGATTTCACTATAGGTTCACGAGTAAAGGCAACAGATTATAAAAGTGTGACTCTTTCAAAAGTATCGTTCGACGGGCTATTTAATTAACTAAGAATACTCAGTTCTAGTAATGGAGAGAATACGTATTTAGCGTGTTATCATCTTTGATCAAGTATGTGTTCACTACTCCATGATTGCATTTAATAAAGAAGCAAAAAACTCCGCAATTGCATTTAATAAAGAAGCGAAAAACAGCAGCTAATAAGAAATGTTTGGTAACATAAGATCTGACTTAATCTGGAAAACAATTCCTTCTTGCTTTAGAATAAAAGCTAATGTCGGTGGTTTGGCCATCTCTGTGCTTTTTATATCACGATACTCACTCTTCTCTCTTTCGTTGTTGTTTTTGTTTATTATTTATTTCTGCTTATTTCTTGCACTTGTAGATACAAGTCTTGCTATGGCTTTATTCATTTATATTCGGGTTATCTAAAGTGCTGTGGTATTTTTATTTATTTATTTTTTATATTTGTTGTCTTTTTGTTCTTTATTTTCAAACTGAGTAAATGTACGATCAGTTGTTGAACGTACGTTGACCGATATTGAGCAGTAGAAACCAAAAATAGCATAAAATTGTTATTAAAAAAGTGTAATTATTTTAAAAGTTAAAAGAAACAAAATTTATAAAATAGAACGTCAAATGCATTCTTAAACTATTATTGAAAGAACCGGGCTTGATTTGAGATATTTTTAGTGAGATTCTAATTGAAAATAAAATACTTTTCCTTTTTTCTGTGCCTTTCCCTCTCCTAATCTATGTTAGAAATCTGTTGACTATTACACCATAATTCCATCTTCATTACTAGTAACAAACAAAATAAAAATTCTTAAAAAATAAAATACTACAACAAGGTTGTTTGAAAAATTTCTGCGTCAAAAGCAGGTGAATAAGAAAGGTTTGAAAAATAAATTGTGCAAAATTATACGAAATTAAATAAAGTTCGGATTCCCAAATGCATTTCTCAAATGCTATTAAGTAACAGTGTACAAACGCTCATGGAATTGCTCTTTTTAGTTCTATTATCTTATTGAGTCACTTATTTACAGAAACTAGTGTTTCAGTATGTCAAAATAGCTCATTCCGTTTAATTTACAAATAAACTCTATCAACTTTTTTGCTTGGAGACAATGATGTAACTTGTGTCAGGTTGGCAAAATTCTTTCAAATTCTTTAAGAATCTTCCGACACAAATGGGCAAAGGGAATTTTTGCTAATCCACTGACATTTTTCTTGCGTTTCATCTTTTATTCGTCATCAATGAACTTATGAGCCGAAAACTGGCAATTTAAAGTCCAGTGCATGTACCACTTTAAAACTTCATATAAGTATGTTGTTATGCCATGCAAAAGGTCGGAGCCAAAATGATTTCAACTTGCACGCCTGCAAACAAAAAAATACTTTGACATCCTTATATATGGTGAATAAGAAACATTCGCGTCAACATAATAAAACTTTCCCATGGTAGTTTTTAGGTATCATTATTTGCAGTTCACCTGATTTCGAAAAGCAACGTATTATTAGCAAGACGCGTTGTCAATAGCTGAAAGATCTTAGTCGTAATTTTAACCAAAACTTTCCAAATTTTTGCAACCGCATGGATTTAAATTCAGTTCAAGAAAGAAAACCATATTTTCTTTTAATGATTAAATTATAAGCATGTAGTGTGAGCCTATTTTACATAAACAATGTAACACTAAAACGCTCGTTCAAAAGCAAACATCTAGTAGAAGTAACGGAGAAAGACTTTTTTTGTACCGTATTGATACCCATATATATATATACCCATATATATATACCCATATATATAACATATACAATATCTACATAGTACAGTATATAATAATTATAAGAAAAGCGAAAGCTAATAGAAAAAAACAAATGAAAAGCCATTACGTATTGCAATGTATAGACATTTTAAAATGAAAATGCGATTATGGAAATTATCGAACGTAAACAGGAATCGATGTTTAGACGTGAAATTCGTAAGGACGACTCCTTGTAGCTTTAAATCCAAGCACTCCGCCCGAGTGATTCCTTTTGTAGAATTAGTGAATTATACGACAAACTGTTATTGTAAATGGACTAATTCGTTATCAGTTCCAAAGGCTTCATACCTCAAAAAAATAGATCTTCTTCAGCAGAAGAGGGGTAGATAATTTCTTATCTTTTATCTGCTGTACTCAACCCATAATACTTTGTCTTTATTGCAACTAGCGTGAAAACATAACTGAAAATGGCTCACTGCCTGGCAGTCGTATCAAAGGAGAGTATGTTTTCAGTGCGCAGTTAGAATCTGAAGGCTTTTGAAAAAGAAATAAGCTTAATTTCTTCATGTTCACTCATAGCCTTGAATGAAAGATTTTCAATAAAACTTAAGCTACTAGACTAATAAACGTAAAACGCCTTTGTAAAACTGGTCAAAGTGTTCAATAACACGATAAGATATTAATGCTGTTACAAAAAGCCCACATTTGATAAAATGTGTCTGCACAAAATTTAGTCCATTTTCGAAGAAATAAAATTCTAGGAATGGTAAAACCAAACACACATTCACGATACTTTACCTGCCGACGCAGCTGGCAATTATTGAAAAGATTAATAACAATTCGCGGAAAAAGGAGATAAGAAAAAGTCACAATAAAGTTAGGTCCTGGTAACTTGCTTGTAAAAGGGTGTACGAGCAAAATATTTGCGAACTCAGTCAAGTAAAAAAAGTTGGGTGGTAATATTAGAACGGAGAAAGCCAGAATAAGCATTATGAACATAAGTTCATAAGTTCATTTATAAATAGATTTCCTAAGAATTGAACATAAAATCTACATTAAAAGGGTCGAATAAATAAAAAGTAAAATCCCAAAGGACATTTTACGTAACAATACCTTAACTCTTTCTGATTATATGCTCATACTCGCACTTTGTTAATGATATTTGAGATTAATGTGGAAAACCTATTTTTCCTTACTGACAATGCGGTCATTACTTTTGTGAAGAACATATTAAGTTTTGTGAATGTGTCTAGGTCACACCACCATCGATCAATTCAGAAGACGACCCTGAATCATCAACTTGTCTGATGTCGGCCAATCTACAGCTCACATTTAATTTAAGCCGTATGAGAGTACTCGACATAGCTAACTGATGCCCAAAATTTTAATCGAATAAGCCAATTGTTTGCCTCTCCTCTCTTATAACATACAACGTTTTTGCGAAAAGTAAGTTTATGTGCACACCTATGCTAGTGTATGTATCAAATTGCAATCACTAAACAGACGGAAATGTCCCAAGCCGTTCAAAGTATTATACTTGCCCTTAAAGCATTCCAGAGTAAATCGCGGACTTAGCGCACTCTTATCCTTCGGAGGTGAGCAAAACAAATTATATTTTTGACACACAACTGAAAAAACAGTTAAAGGCGTAATAAAAAATTTCTATATACATATTCCGGCTATGTATAACTTATATGGAATAAACTTCAAGTGTGAAACATGTGACAAAAAACGATTTAGATCAATTAAATATTTCCCATTCTGCTCAATGGAAAGTATAGTAAAATGACATCTCAAAATGTTGTTTGTCAGTTATCATCGGAATGATAGTTGCCTGATGACAGCTCCCAAACGATCCTAAATTTAAAATGACAACTTTCGTTGCAGAGCTCGGTCTTATAAATACTAGCTTAAGAGTTCGGTGAACATTCCAGTTTTCATTTAACGTAACAAATTTTATAGATATGACAAGCGCTTTAGCAGGAACGTAATAACACAATTGTCACTTCACTGATGATATTTGCGTAAACGTAATATGTTTTCAAAGCACAATTAAACTCTGCGTAGACCATGAAACACGACCAATGCTTTTTTAATGTGACAGGTTTCAATGGTGAAATTATTGCTTACCCGATTCATTCTCATGACAAGCTTTGCACCGCATATGAAAATAATTAAGTCGATAGCTTTTCTTATAGATAATTTATTGTATTATGTGTTAATTCTGAATAAATAAGAATATAAATTTTATATAAAACACAAAAGTTGCCAAAGGCCTGGAAAACGATAATTCAAATTATTGCAAAAATTCGATATAATTGAAATAAAAGTAATTAATGGGTGAAATAAAAAGAAGAACATGATTATTCTTCTTTTATTTTTAATATTTTTATATTTTTTTTAAGCTTATAAATAAATAGATATAGAAACTGTTAAAGTTTAGACATGTTTTCTCACTCTAACTTTAGATGAATTAATTGTATAACGTATATATATATATATATATATAACAGATATATATATATATATATATATATAACAGATAAGCTATAACAGATAGCTGATAAGAACAAAATCAATAAGAAAAATAAAAAAAATAAATAAATATAGAAGGAAAGATTGAAAAAAATAAAAAATTAAATCTCATCACATTTTTTCCATAATTACGGGCTGCTAGTACTCAGTTATCAAGTAGCGCATGTCGACGGTAAACGTGCATATAACTTGCTCGTCTAAAATTTCAAAACTAAAAGAAATCCAAAATATTTTAAATAGAAGTAAAAAAGCTTATGAAAATAAGAATTCACTTTTTTTATAAACTAAAAAAAAAACATTAAAATGCCTGAAATATCTCAAGACGCTTTTGAAATTTTAAATCCTGGTGCGCCGTCTGAAACCTTTAACACTTTACGTTCACAAAAAAATCCGTCAACATCGGCAACTGCCATTACGACTACGACGTCGTCACGTGACCCGCAAAAGGATCAGAAGTTTTCAAATGGTCTGGCTCGCACGGATAGTCTTCAACCTCAGGGCTACAAAAGAGAATTAGACCACAGGTAATTGAATTGTTTTCGTTTCTTCTAATTATAAATGCTAAATGCTTGCTTAGCACATATTCGGAATTGCAAATACACTCGATAATGTTTGTGCATTAATAAATAACTTTCCAAACAGCAATTTATTAATATAAATCAAGTCTTCAGAAAAAATTATACTTGAATATATTTGCTGCTATATATGTCGCAATAGTTTATGTATTATTGTGGCTCTAACCCTTTTTTGCAGACTAATAGTTCCAAAATCTGAAACAATAATAAGAACAAAAATTCGAGATTCAAACCTACCCGAATCGTCAATAAGAGTGGTAGATGTATTCGGATTTAATCCCTGAGAAAAATTATACTAAGGAATTTAGTGAAAATTACCTCTGGGAGAAATTGATATCGAAGGCTCTTTAAAATATTTCAAGTTTGTCTGCATGTTATATGTCTGGAAAGCTCTCGGTCGTAAAAACTAGTACAAAGCGCTGAAACGTGGCGTATAGTTTGTGTGTTGACGGGCAGAAAGCACCTTTGAAAATTGGTTATGAGCTGCAAAAAATGAGACGCAAATTTTAACTTACAAAGTATAAAATATGTTGAACTAAAAGGAAATCAATATCTCCTACGACCGTTTCAGTTGTCAGTGTAAGAAAGGTTCGTTTGACAGATTAAAATTTTAAAATTACTCCACAACTTTTAAGTTTATTGGTAGATATCAAGATCCCATCAAGAGGACGTAGTGCGTTTTGGTATACTTCTACTTGCTACTTTTTTTTTTTTCCGTTGACTTTGATTATGGCTTTTCCTAATGTTTCCATTTGTCAGAGTATCATCCTAAAACTTTACTTTAACAATGTTTACAATCATCTGCAAATTTTTTTTCGAAAATTTACGGTTGGTCACATGAAGTTTCTGTAGTACTACGATAAGCCAGCAAGCAAATCACAAAATCGCAAATATAACGGGCTCTATATTTTTGTATTTGTGGCCCACAAGCATTTGTCAAATTTGTTTGCTTCAGATGATTTGAGACGTGTGTAAATACTTTGTGTGCATAGAATCACTATGAAAATGTCGTGCACTTCTCTTTTTATACCCATCGTAGAAAGATGAGCAGTATGTTCATTTTGTGAAAACGTTTGCAACGCTCAGAGAGGAGCAACAGAGACCCTACAAAGAATATATATTCTTGATCAGTATCCTGCCTGTGCCTGTTGTATACATTCTCTTGTCCGCAAAAATGAAGCTATCGACTTCAAATTTGGTAGAAACATTAAAAGTTTTTGCACGCAGGGTGGTATTGAAAATACGCCAAATCGGCCGAATGACACGCCCACAGCACCATGTAAGCTGAGAAAGCTTCTGTTTTTCAAAAGGAATTAAAAATTGGTTTTTTGTTCATTACTCATAAACTGTTCTAGATAAATCTACAAAAATTTGAACGCATATTCTATGGGCGACGCTGTAGCATCTGTGGACAAAAATAGTAAAAATTTACCACGCCTACCCAATGTTATAGTGTGCCAAACTTTATTTGTTTTTTCAATAGCCTATAACGCGCAGAAACAAGCTTCAACAACCCTATAAAGTCTACAAATTCTTGGCCATTTTCAAATTTCGAATGCAGCCAAAACATATTCCCCTGTTCGTCTGTGCATCTGTCTGTTTGAGCAACTGTATATTGTTTGTGGTAAGCATTCTCCCGTTGCAAAAGGGAATATAACACCTACAAATTTGCAAAAATATTTGGAATTGACCTAAACTTTTCAAAGGACGCTCTTACAACGCCCACCTGGCTATGCGAAAAAAATTTTTATATTTCGAAAATAGAAAAAATCAGCTGCGCCCACTCCTTATTATAGAGTATGAAAAATTTGTTCTTTTACTTCTTTTGTCTTTTTTAAGATAACGGTGATGGGTATAAAAGATTCGGTCCCGACCGAATTTAATTTCCTTATGTTTTTGTTACCTTCGCACGAGCGGCGAATTTGACTCCTGTAAAGTGCGACCGTTATGTTAGCATTATTGCATTGTTGTTGAAATACCCGAATTAATGAACTGGATACGACATGTCACGTCATCGCTTAATTTTAATTACGCAATGTGTGAGAAGATTTTAAAAACATATTACCCAGCTAAGGGGTTAAAATATTTTTTGGTTGGATTTTTTTACGATAGGTAGTCTCTCTGTATATATTAACTAATTATAAAAGTTAGTTGATTCTGCAAAATTTTGTGACTAATGAGCGGAGTAATATAGAAGGAACGTATGTTTTTCAGCATTTGCGCGTATTTTTAATTACTATCTGAAAAAAGTTACTTTGTAACTTAAATAGAAGACTGCATCACAAAAGTAGTCGTAGAAAACTTATTCAAAAATGTAGAAGTCCCGCCGAGTTTATTGTATTCCACAAACTATTTGAGTCGTTACAGCTACAAAAAAAATCCTTATTCCCATGTTAAGGTCGGCAATATCGGTCTGCCACCATAGCATTTAAAGAGGCAGATCTACTAATCTTCTGAAGGTTTGTTATCAAGCTTCCTATCAACAAGCGTTTGACAGAGTACCGAAATGCTTCCATTTAACGTGTGCTGTTCAATTCTCGTCATTCTAGGGAAGTTCCGTACTTACCTGGAGTTCTTCAAACGAGGACATGTACCTTGGAAAGACCAGCAACATTGAATTAGTTATAAATAGACTTCCTGTATGCATTGAATATTCCTGGGTGTAAGCGCTATTTTGTTGACAATAAACTTTTATTCGCTTTTGGCGCAGATTACACATTTTCTTGAATTCTCCCAATGTTGTTAACAGGTACATATAGTGTATACCTAATGGGCACGCCACTCGTCATCGTATCGATACTCATATTCTGTAAAATGTGCTAGGTTATGAAGATTTGGGAATTGTTTTCGACTTAAAAAACAAGTTTCATACCCAAATTTCGTTAGAAAAAGCCACATCTCTTATAGTTCTTATAAACATATGATCTAAAAAATTTAACTATCCGATTATGTAGCTGTTGTAGTAGTAGTAGATATAGTAGTAGTGATTGCTTTATTGAAGAACAGTTGTGTAGAATTACTTAAATGACTACGGCAATTACCGTCAGCCATTTTAAAAAAGCAAACATACTAAAATCAATTAAGATCACAGTCATGTAACAATTAGAGATTAGGTAAATTCATTGATTATCATTGTTCTTATTGCTTATTTGTTGTATACTAACAGCCAGTAGCGTCCAGTTCTGACCATTTCAAATTATCGTTAGTTCATTTACATCGAGGATATATTTTTTAAAATAAGCAATTGGTAAGTTATTCTTTATAGGACACCGCGCAACAAAGCGCCGTACGTTTTCAGGTCCATGTTGAATACACAGTGTGCAATTCATGTCTATGGGTTCGACATCCGCCCAATAATTTAGGTGTAGAAGTGCTAAAATAATTACTATAATTTGGATCATACATTAGTTTGCGTGGCTTCAAACTTGGCGGTCGTGCTTCCTTTTCTTTTATGTAAATTTTTGTACTTAATCTTTACACCTGTTTGTGCCACTTGTCTACATTTTCTAAAGATAGCGGGAGTACCTTATGTTCTAGATACAAAATGCTCCGTACACGGAAACTTCGGATTCGGTCTGCAATAAGTTGCTCGTTATTTTTTTCGGCAGTCGGCGATTTGCTATGGCGAGTATTCTAACCACATATTTTATGTGTAAGCTCAAGAAGTAACAGAATCATGACGGCAAACCCGGCTTTTCGTAGATTATTTATTGAGAAAGTCCGTAGTTTCTCGACTTGGTCGTAACGCCATACTTGTCTTCCGTAGTGTACAATGGCACGGACGACAATCTGAAAGACTTTAAATGTTGCGATGTGGAGTGTATTCGGGTTAGCCATTTTTTTTTTCAAACTACAATTAATGGCATGTTTAGCTTCTATGTGTGTTTGAATTAAATGTTAAATAAAACTCGGAGTTTGAGAGATAACCATTCCACGGTACTATTTTTCTTGTTCAGTTGTATTTAGCCAACAGTTCTCTCTGTTTCGGCTCATCTTCCGCGGCTATTTCTACCCACTAAAGTTTTTCATTGGTTTGTTTTGACGCCGAAGCTCTACCCAATATAGTGTTCACTTAGTTTATTAATCATCCTTTTACCAAACGCGCGATCTTTGTTGGGAACGTTGCTTTTCTTACAAATCTTCAGTACATATAACACCACTTGCGCTAAATAGTGGTTGATCATATATGGGAAGGTTGCATTAATTACTGCGTACGTGTGTTGTTTGCACAAACTGTTTTTAAAATACTGGGGCAATACAGAAGTATTACTAAAGCATTAATATTTGTCGAAAATGTTACCTTTTAACTTTTTCAGGTTTGCCCAGAAGTTTCTCGTATTCCTGCAGTTACCAAAGCTTGCACACGAAAGAATATTTTGCGTGACTAAAAGTAGCGTCTAAAATAAAAAAGAATAGAAAAATTGTATTAACTTTATGGCAAATCGTCTTAAAAGGAAAACATTACAATTTTCAGCCGTTTAGAACCATTATTCCAATGACCCTTTTTATAAGCAATAAGAAATATTTCTACCAATTTAACTCAAGATATTTTGTAACTCTTAAGCCACAATGTTTTATAATGTACACCACTTGTGGAACAAGGGTATGTTAAATTTGTGCGAATGTATGCTGTAGTGAAAACACAATAAATCTAATGCTAAATTGACGTTTGTTAACTTTACTTTGATTTTGACTCTATGACTTTGGCTCACCTAAACTGTAGTCAGTGTCTTATGTAATAAATAATTAAGCTAGCTTAAGCAAAATAATCGTTTTAAACCATGTTATTACTAAAATTACATTTAATGTGGGCTATAGCTAAAGTAGGTTATCTTAACTAGGTTATACCTACGTTTACATTATGTGGAAATATATGAAATTGTAAACTAAGCATAAATGATTATTAAACGGGTAGACTGCGATAAATCGATAATGCTACAATGCAACGC